ATCTAGGAGGCATTCTAACCAGATGTCCTAGCAAACTCTACTGGCTCCTTTCACTGTAGAGGTGCAGCAGATTTACATTGAGCCCCTCCTGGATGACCAGGCTACTCACCCTATCTCTAAGGCAGAGCCCAGACACCCTGCAGAGAAAATTATTTTTTGCCGCTTGTATCTGCAATCTCATTCTTTCAGTCACTACTCAAAGCTCATGACCATAGATGAGGGTTGGAACGTTTAATGACTGATAAATTGAGAAACTTTCCTTTCATGCTCAGCTCTCTATTCACCACGACAGACTGGTGCAACGCCTCCATCACTGCAGACACAGCACCTATCCGCCTATCAATCTCCCCCTCTATCTTTTCCTCATTCGTGAACAAAACCCAGAAGGCACTTGGACTCCTTCATTTCTGGCACTGCAATGTTGCGTGGGCATTGGGGGCATTTCCACTAGATTGGCAGACCGTGAGGGCAGTGTCCCTATCTAAAAAGGGGGACCCAGGATGTGTTCCAACTACAGGGGGATCACACACATGAGCACCCTTGGTAAAGTCTATTCAGGGGTTCTGGAGAGGAGGGTCGGATAGTTGAACCTCAGATTCAGCCGGAACAATGTGGTTTTTGTCCTGTCCGTGTAACACTGGACCAGCTCTATACCATTAGCAGGGTGTTAAAGCATGCGTGGGGCTTTGCCCAACCAATCTATGTGTGTTGTTTAGATTTGGAGAAGATGTTTGACCATGTCCCTTCAGGAGGGAGTATAGCTGTTAGGTCTCTGTACGGCCAGTGTCAGAGCTTTGTTTGCATTGCTTGCAAAAAGTTGGGCTTGTTCTCAAGGAGAGTTGGACTCCACCAAGGCTGCCCTTTGTCACCAATTCCGTTCAAAACCTTTATGGATAGGATTTCTAGGTGTTGAGGGGATCCATTCTGGTGGTCTAAGATGAGGTCTCTGCTTTTTGCCGATGATGTGGTCCTGTTGGCTTTATTGGATTATGATCTCCAACATTTACTGGAGCGGTTCACAGCTGAGTGTGAAGCAGCTGGGATGAGAACCAGCTCCTCCAAATCTGAGACCATGGTCTTAAGTCAGAAAAGGAAGAATGCCTTCTTCAACTAGGACTACATGCGACTTTGAATTAAAAACAATTCTTGTCCCCAGACCTTACACTAGAACTTGTCCTTTAATGACCTAACCCTACACCTGTCAGAGACCACGTTTCTGTAGAAAACACACCCATCTCATATGTGCATGGAAGTCATAAAGCAGATCGTTCTGAATTATTGATGACAAGGACACAGCTCACTCTGTTTTACACCGAGGAAGAGCCAACCCTGGCAGCATCACGCTGGCTCTGTCTTGTAAACAGCGTGCTATATTTACTACAGCTCCTTGTGTCTGCCTTTTCTTTGAAAATGTCACTCAAACTTCACAGCAAGAGTGTTAATAATGTGAAAGAAATCTATACTGGAAAACAAATCCATTGTGTTTTTATTCAGTTCAGTTTATTTAAAAGGTGCCAGCTTCCAACACAAGTCACACCAGCTTATCTTTTATACCCCTTATTCCTCTGACGTCTAACTCTATCAATCACCAGTCACGAGGTGAGGGCACCCCTAGACAGGTCTCCAGTCCATGACAGGGACAGAGACAAACAGCTACTCACACAGTCACACCTAGGGACAATCTCGAAACACCAACTAACCTAACCTACATGTTTTTGGTTTCTGTGAGGAATCTGGAGTTCCAGCTCAAAACCCACCAATTTTATTTATAGCTGTATTTCGTCACACAATACAGCTGGCCCTGACGGTATAGGGGTAGATTTGTTATCATTGCTGCTGTTGAGGCTCTTGCATTTCCTCTATCGATACTTTTTAACCTCTTTTAACTCACGCACTGTTCCGAAGGTATAGAAGGTCACTAACATTATTCTTTACCATAAAGAGAATGATAATCAGAAATTTAACAATTATAGGCCTTTAGCGAGTATGGTTGTCATGGTAACCGGTGTAATGGTAAACCCCGGTATAAAGGTTGACAATAATAATAACCTTCTTGTTTTTAAAAATATATTATCTTGGTGGATTACCGTGGCTGCGGTGTAGGCGCGGTGACCCTTACCAGCCAACATATCATCTGCTGAAGTTGTCGGCGGCACATGCGCACTTTGTTGTTTACAACCAAAACTTTCTTGAAGCTAAAGCTGAAATAATGGCCAAAGGAGGAGACGGCAGTGCTCAGGACATTTATTATCCCTCAAAGAAGACAAAGTTGGAAGTACGGACATTTTATGGATATTTGAAGAATGCCGAGGGACAGTTGATAGAAGACGGCTATCCTGTTTGCAGCACGTGCAGAAAAAGTGTCTGTGAAAGGCAGCAACGCTTCAAATCTCATGACACATCTGCGTGACCGTCACCCACAACTCTACAGTCAACGCAAGGCAAGCTAACGTTAGCGTTTTAGCTAAAATGCGTGATCCGAGGATTTGGGTTGAGGGAGAATGCAATGAGTCGCTATATAAAGCAGCCACAGCGCCGCTACCTGCATATAAATCGTGTCGCGGACACCCCCATGTTGAAATGACGCTATGCATTACGGGGCTCCCAGGGGCAGATAAGAGTTTGTCTCTCTCCGAGAATAATTATGAATTTAACAATGATTACTGCCTGATGACATTTTCCCAAATCTGCACAGCTCACTGGAAGGACACAAACCGAGGACAATATTTTCCTGATATAGGGTTTATTACTCAAGTAAGGGTAAAAAAGTATCTGATTAGAAGGCTACTTGATTATCTAGTATCATCTGATCTAATATTTTTAAAATGATATCAGACAAAAAATAAGAAGTTTTGGGCAAATATTAATATTTTAAAGACTAAAGGGGGAAAATGTAAACAAATAAACAACATAATTACAAAATAACAAATTTTAGGCAACATTTTGACACAAACTGAGGACAATATTTCCCTGATATGCCGGGTTTTATTTAGTTGTCTGAAAATGTAACACGTTTAAAAAAAATACTGCGATAATACCGAAAACCGTGATAATTTTGGTCACAACAACCATGAGGTAAAATTTTCACACCGTGACAACCCTATTAGCGAGAGCTAATACAATTGTAAAAATATTTTCGAAACTGATTTTTACTCAGCTATCTGATTTTTTGGACTCTAATCGTTTATTTTCGCATTGCCAATCTCGATTCAGAAAATATTTCTCCACAACATCTGCTCATCTCAAATTCACCAATGACATTTATCTCAGCTTTGACAAAAACCTAACGGGTGGTGCCGTTTTTCTCGGCCTAACTACGATACAGTCGACTATTATTTAGACTATTATTTACTTTTGTATAAATTGTATGTTTTTGGCCTTTCGAGATAGTCACTTTTATGGTTTAATTATTTTCTCCACCATCGTTCGCAATACATTTCATTCAATATGCATGAATCAAACATGCGTGGGGTCGTCAGAGGGTTTCCTCAAGGCTCCCCATTGGGACCTCTGTTATTTTCAATTTTTAATAATGATTTGCCTTTAAGCTGTACTTCCTGTTCTGCGCATTTGTATGCTGACAATGCAGTTTTGTATTCCATTATGCCAAGTATTTTGGAATTACAGGAGGCCTTGCAATCTAATTTAAATACTGTGCAGAAATCTGAAACATATTTCATGCTGTTTAGAAGACATCTGGGGCAAGTGAGGATTTAAAATTTCATTTTACGGACCTCTGACAAACTTTCTACAGATAAATTAAAATATTCATGAATTTGGATAGGACCAGACTTATCCTTCAGAAATCCAAGCAGTTTCTCATAAGATCACAAGTTGCTTACGAACACGGGACCTGTCACATGTTTTCTTTCACTAGTTTTAGTCATTATGTTTACGTTGCGCTCTCAGAACTCATCACGGTCAAGTGTACGAATGCCTTAAATGGTACCCATGCAAAAGCATAAATTCCATTGGTTGCTGCCACTGCTTAATTCATATTTGGTGCCAATCTGTGTTAGTTTAGATTTTCTGTCTAGTTGGCTCTTTATTTTACGAAGATGATTGTTATTGTTGTTATTTTCCTATTTATACAAGTCTGTTTGTGTTTACTGGAACTGTCTAAGCTACTATTATTACCTATAATGCATTTAGTTACAATTATCGATGACCCATAGTTTAGCAGGATCTTTAATTATTTCTTTTTTTTTTTTGTAATTTTGGGATTATTTAATGACTCTGCTGTCTTTTTAGCTACTTTGTTGTTGATTTCGTGGACCCGCTCGAAAATGAGATGTTACATCTGAAGCGGTTTACATCCTAATGAAACATAAGTTAAATAATTAAATAAATAAAAATATAAATGAATAAATAAACATATTTATAAGGTTATTTTTAAGAGGATAAGTAGCTTGGGATGCAACAGCTCATTTGCAAACGAGTCCTCTATACATACAACATACAGAAAAATAAACAGGATAGCAGAGTCAACAAATTAGAAAAAACACGATGACAGTATAGTTAAGATGCAGACTCATCTTCCGCAGTTTTATCAGTCTGAACATTTTGCACATCCGTTAACTTTGAGCCCAAGCAGCCTGTTTCCAGGCCACGGATGTGACAAGAGCCCACACACATTTGCATCAGCCTGTGCACAGCTTTGTCCCCTCACTGGGAGCTGGGTTAGGATTAGATGTCATATGAGGTGACAGCTGACTCAGGGAGAAGCAGAGGCATCCCAGTCCTCCATCACTTCATGCTCCTCTCCATCGCTGCTTGGTGGTTAATAAGCAGGTTCATCTTCCCACTTTGATTTCTTCCCCAGGTGTAGCGGATAAAAAGGAGTTGGTGTTTCTCCTCATTTGCATAAAATTGCATTATAGCATCATTAAATGTGGCCTATATTAGATGTTGTAGCAGTGAAGGCGTTATCTATGCAAAACCTGTCTCACATCATCCCAGCACAAGGCCGTCAAACACCTCATTGTGTTCCTCTTTTTTAGGTTTTCAACACCTACTCCAATGAGGACTATGACCGCCGTAATGAGGAAGTAGATCCCGTGGCTTCCTCCGCGGAGTACGAGCTGGAGAAGAGGGTGGAGAAACTGGAGCTCTTCCCTGTGGAATTGGAGAAAGGTGGGAAAGAACATCCTAACGAGAATGCTGTGCTGTCACTTACTCATCCCACCCTGGAGACGTCACACGTGGGCCGTGATCGGATGTCTTTTATTATTAATTAAACGCGGTTCTGTTTGCCTTTCTGGGATTCAGGTTGTTTTGTTCGTTAATTTCATCACAAATCTCTTTAGATTACTCCAGAAAGCACAGATTCTAATTTCCATGTTTTCCCAGAGTTATTCAGAATTAATCCTCAACCTATTGAGATATTTCCCATGTTACAAATCAGAACTGCCAAAAAGCTAAAATAGAGACTATTTAGAAATCCTCCAGGCGCTTGTTGTTATGTAACCCGAGCAGCTTGTGAATAATTAACTCGGAACGGGGAAGAAGTTCTCGCCCAACGGATTTCCTTTTTCAGCTTAATTAGTCTTTTGGTAAATACAGACATGATTTTGTTTTAATTTTTTTATTTGTTATTAAAAATAATACTTACATAATAACGAAACATGCATGGACAAGCACAACGGAGGCACAAATGTGAATGTAAAAGCCACCATCGTGTGTGATCCTAAAATCCATGAAGAGTTACAGTTTTCCATTTTTCATGCTAGTTTGAATAAATGTATCATTAAATTTAAGGTCCCTCTTTGTTACGAAGCTAACCTGATCCCAAAGACACATATCCACCGCATTTGTGAAGAAGGCTTCAGAGAACAGCAGGAGGACCAGGAATGCCTCCTGAACCTGGTCCAGCTGTGGGATCTGGGAATGTCAGCAGTAGGGATGGGTACCTTTGACATTTGAAAATAATTCGGTACTAATTCCCGGTACCTAGGAATCGATACCGGTACTTAACGGTACCAATTTTCGATACTTTTGAGTGTTTATTATTTTAATTCTCTTTTATAATTAAATATATATTTTTCTCAATTTATAACCATATTTGATAAATATCACGATAAATAACATACAACTGTTTGTATTTTAACATCGTCCTTGTAGTTTTATAAGCTGATAATTAAACTGAAGCAAACATCTTTACTGTGAACTAAATTTACTGTGTATCTTCATTCCTTTTGCCGTCTTTTTCAATTGATTTTTCCTACTGGGAAGTTAGAATTTCCATGGAGAAAGCGAACGCACCATTAGATGATAACAACGGTGGCAATGGAAGCTAACATATCAAGCTAACGTTATCTTAAACAGTTTATTTAGCTGCTGGAGCAGATTAAAACGATGATGCCTCACACTTAGATCGTTGTCGCTGGTTTCATCTTCACCCAATCACCCGTCGCATTTAGTAAAGTGAAGCCAAACTTTAGAACGCGTTCATGTTCTTCTAGTCGGAAATTCGGAGTTCCGAGGAGAAAGCGAACGCACCATTAGCGAAACGGAAGCTAACATATCAAGCTAATGTTATCTTAAACATTTTATTTACCTACCGGAGCAGATTAAGATGAGGATGTCTCACTTAGATCGTTGTCGCTGGTTTCATCATCACCCAGTTACCCATCACATTTAGTGAAGTGGACCCAAGCTTTAGCGTGCGTTCTTTCTACCATGCTGCTCTGTTTACAACTGGCTTGCAGCGACCGATGACATAACGCTCTTGCGCATGCGCAGCTGTCTTGGCAAGTTCTCGTTATGAAGGACGGGTACCGAAACGAGGCACCGTTTGAAATGACATGAATCGGTGCTCGGTCGGTACTATGGAATTCGGTCGGTACCTTAAAAAGTACAGAATTCGGTACCCATCCCTTTCAGGATGGTCTGGGATCAAGAAGGGCAGCAAAGAAGTCACTTCTGTCCAAGAAAACCATCACAGACAGACTCATGTTGGGTTAACAGTTCAGGGGTCGGAGCGTTCCAGCCTGATGGAACACCGGGCCAGATCCAGATCAGTCCAGGAAACTCTCAAGCGACAGCTGAACAAAGCAAATCTACATAAACATACCAGTAAACTAGAACTATTAACGCATGGAACATGAGATGTCAAACATTGAGACTTGACTTGAACTGTGTTTCCAGATGACGACGGCTTGGGTATCAGCATCATCGGAATGGGAGTCGGGGCTGACGCAGGTTTGGAAAAACTCGGAATCTTCGTCAAGACGGTGATCGAGGGTGGAGCTGCTGAGAGGGACGGCAGGTGAGAGTACTCGGTTAATGTTCAACACACTCTCTCTGTCTCTCTCTCTCTCTCTCTCTCTCTCTCTCTCTCCACCTTTCTCTCTCTCTCTCTCTCTCTCCACCTTTCTCTGTCTCTCTCCCCACCTTTCACTCTCTCTGTCTCTCTCTCTCTCTGTCTCTCTCTCTCTCCGCCTTTCGCTGTCTCTCTCCCCACTTTTCTCTCTCTCTCTCTGTCTCTCTCTCCACCTTTCT